TTCTGCAAGCAGAAAGCCCAGAGGTCAAGTGTTTACAGTTCCTGAGTGGACACAGGGATAGGAAAAACAGCAGTGAAGGTTACTTTCCAAAGAAATGGAGTTTTTCAGGAATGCATTGTTGATATGTGTAAATGTATGCCTCTCCATAGTGTAAATGTGCATGTAGGTGATTATTTTAAAGGATCATGTTTCAAGCTCAGGAGTATTGTGATTATGTTTGCAGAGACTTCCAGCTCTACAAGCTCTTAGTTTAAACAAGCCTTATATCTGAAGCTTTTCTGTAGTACAGAATTTCCAACAGGCTCCCATAGGCGGTTAAAGCAGGCAGGATTTACAGGTAGATTCCACATCACGTAGAAACATCAGTTGTTAGCATTTTCTCCTTGAAGGTATTTGTAGTTATGTATGTTCTCGGGGCAACTAAAGAGGAGTTTCCAACATGTATATTATTCAGTAGGAGGTCTCGGAGACCCAAGAAAACAAAAGAATGAATGACGCTGCTGAGACCCGCACTTGTCTGGTTTCCTTTGCAATGATGCAGTGCTTGGCAAAGGTGAGGAGGAAACTCCACGATGTTAATCAGCATGTGTCTGTTTCTTGGGCCCAGAGAAACTGTGCTCCTCTGAAGCAAAATGATGGGGCTTTTTCTGATAGCCAGTCCTGAGAATTTACAGAAGAAAAGCTACCTCTGAGCTGAGAAAGAAAACCATGTGAAACAACCTTTCTGCAATAAAATCAAATGATGTAATGTCTGTCTAAACATAAACTTTAAAGGGCTTCTGAAAGCTCTCTTCAGTATTTTGAGATCCAGTCAGGAATAGATACAGGGGGAAAAAAGCCAGTCTTCTGTCATGAAGTAAACATTAAAGATCATTTAAGGAAATAAATGAAGGTGATTTCTGTATTATCCCATAATGGACAGGGTAAAAGATGCTTGTCATTAAAATCTTTATTTTCTCTAGTGCTCCTTATAGAAATAATAGCCACTCAGAAGACTAATTTCAACTGCAGATTCAGAATAGGGCAGATGGGCTTTACTGGTATATGTACCAATGTCTTACCAAAATCCTGTTGGAGAATGAGGTCTGTGTCTCAGGGCAGAACCCTACCTTCATGTTTTTATGACATCGTAAGCGTAACAAAGGGTGAGGAAGAGAAAAACTCTTTTGGTTGGTGGCTGCAGGTCTGAAACAGCTGAATGATAATTCTTGCATTTTTAAATCCTTGATGACAACTCGTAAATGAAAGCTTCTCTGGGTGATAATGACTTCCAGGTATATTATGCTGTCCATTTCGGATTGTCCAGTGAAGCCTTTCTTATTTATTAAGTACTATCTTACCAGAAAAGGACACATTCATTTAAGTTTCCACGATCTTCCCAAACTTGTTGCTGAGTGCTGAGATTCAGATGCTGTTTCAGATTTGCGAGGATAGTAGTAATTCATACAGTTCTATCTTTCACCTTGAGATCCGTCCAAAGAATGCAGTTTGGAGAACAGACAGATGTAAGTGATATAATGAAGTGAAATGGGGTGTTTCTGCTCTAAGACTGTAGATAGTTGTCACATCCTGATAATTCTGAGAAGAAAAGAGTGTGCTTCGGGAAGTCTTTACAGTCCTGTGAGATTAAGATTGAAAATCAAACTAAAAACCATGACTCTGCGTCTTCAATTTGTGTTCTACCAGCCTGGAAGAGCTTGGGTCTTCCATGAGTGTAGTCAGAGGGGAGAAACTGCTCTCAGTTGAATCTTGGTACTTCCCAGCCCCAAAATCTTCTTCCTTTTTGACACAGGAGAATAGCCCTATATCACCCCTTTTGCTTATTATTAGCATGTTCAAGGAACATTTAGACGTTCTGTTGAGGGACATAGTTTAGTGAGAACTATTGGTGATAGATGGATGTTGATCTGGATGATTCTGTAGGTCTTTTCTAACCTTGGTGATTCTATGATTCTTCTGGCCAGAACTGAGTATCTTAGAATCACAGAGTGATTTGTGTTGGAAGAGATCCTGAAGACAATCTTTTTCTTACCTTCCTGCCATGAGCAGAAACACTTCCACTAGACCATGTTACACAGAGCATCACCCAGTCTGGTCTTGGACACTTCCTGTGATAATGTCATTGGGCAAAACCCTGGCACAGTTTTCTGAAATGTCAGTGTGGCAGTCAGGAGGCCCTTTTCAGATCTGTCTGACCCCATGACCTCCTTAAACTATCAGAAGAGTATCTGTTACTGCAGATCCAGATAGGAGATGGGCTGGGAACAGCAAATGCTGGCAAAATACATCTCCTGTCAGAGAGAATTTAAAGCTGACGATGAAATTACAGAGTCATAGAGTAATTTTGTTTAAGTGAATCTGAAATCAACCAAACAGCTGAGCATGGCTAACATGTTAGGGCTTCACCATCAAGGGATTCTTCTTGGCAGAACAAAAATAGTAACAGACTTCACAGCTACAGCAACAGAGGACTGTAGTAAAGCTTTAAGAGATGTTCTATTTTTGTAGGAAGTGACTTCTATTGCTCTGTCTGATGAATGTAAAATTTGTCAAATACCTAGTCTAGCTATTCAGGAATCTCAAAAATGCCATCAAATAACTAAAGAAAATATGACTAACGGCACAATCTTAATGGAGAAATTAAAATAAAAATAAGCAAGTTGTTGGATGTAGCGAGAAGGTTGCAATGTGACGTGAACACATTATAGAAATGAAAGTAATTCCACATTATGGTACACAACACTGTGGTGAAATGGCAAATTTATTTGAGAAGGTGTTTGGGTTGATGTTACAAAACAACTCTTTACTTGCACTAATGATAAGTTCAGTTTCTCAAGATTGCTGGTTGCGCGTACTTCCTTTTTCCAAGTTTCTGTGGATCAATACCCCTTGTGAAGCTACTGACACCTAACAAGCTCTGCATGTCTCTAAAGATCAAAGACTGAGTAGGTCTCCTGATCTCAAGAAGAAATGAAATCTGGCAGTGAGCTCCATCTTTCACCTGGCTACAAGCCACAGCTTCTCTGCATTTATCTGTGAGTTTCCAGCAAAAATTTTACAGTTTATAGACTTTCTGTTATGTATAGCATTTTGGTAAGTGTGCCAAGATCTACCATTGGAGCTAAGAAATTATTTATGTCATAAGAGGGAAATACTATTTCAGAACTATTTGTAAGGTGTTAAAAACAATGTCAGCACTGTTGACTTTGCCTTAGTTTCCTTCTGTGCAATGCCCTGATCTGAAAATTTCATGTGTTTCAAATACATGCTCAGCTGAATGAAATGCTAGACTTTAAGGCTCAGTTCTCATTCATTAGTCAATGTGCTCATCAGTCCACAGACTTTAATATGCATAGAGCCAAGCCCAAACTAATACAAATGGCATTTCATTTGTTGGCATTATCTTCCATAATGTCATTATTATTACTTCAAAGTTTTTGTAGATTTTGAAATGTAGAAGTGCATACGTGGATAGTGGTTATAAACATAGCTTCACCACTGCTAAATCACATATGTGATTTGCTATATGCTATAATTCTGAAATTTCTCAGCACTCATAAACACAGCCTTTCAAAAAATACATTAACAGATAATGTCAAGAATTCTACCTGAAAAAAAAAAAAAAACCAAAAACGAAAAACCCAATAAAATATATTTTCTCTCCTATGCAACATATGTGAAGTCTGTTCCAGCAGAATCCTAATTCAGGTATTTGAACCAGTTTGGAATGCTAAAGAAGGCTTACACTCAAGGTATTGCCATCTTTATGTTCCGACTACCTGTAGTTAAAAAAAAAAAAAAAAAAAAAAAAAAAAAAAAA